TTAAAAAGCTGAAGTAGTTTTTTTTTCCCCTTTCTTTGTTGAATACTTTAAGTAAAGACTTCTAATTAATTTTGAACAAAATGCCAATTTCTAAAAGTTGATTACTGACCAGGAGCAAACAAAGAATGTGTTCCCATCATGCATAAGATTGTTTATGTCTGGGTGCCTGGGTGGCTCAGTCGGTTAAGCATCTGCCTTCAGCTCAGGTCATGATCCCAGGTTCTTGGGATCCAGTCCCACATGGGGCTCCCTGCTCAGTGGTGAGTCTGCTTCTCCCTTTCCCTTTGCCCCTCCCCCTGCTCATACTCACTCTCTCTCAAATAAATAAAATCTTTAAAAAAATTAATATCAGCTTTATCCTCCAGGTATTGTATATAGTTCACTCTAACTTTGTATATATAAAGCTGTGTGAATTTTGACTACAGTTACCATTTTGACTAATAGAATATCACAGCTTTAGTACATAATCACCACAATCAATCTCAAGTAAATTTTTGTTCCATAGATTTCTTACTTTAGTAAAAATATTATTTTACTGAGATGCTGTGCTCCCCCAAAATATGTACTCATATTATCATTTGCATTCACAAGCTTAATTTTTAAAGTAACAGTAGCATTCGCAATAAGGTCAGAAAATTCGCCTTTGACACAATAAACTTCCAAAAGGTTTTCATCTGTTCTGTGAATTGGTTAAACTTTTTTCTTTTCTTTTTTTTTTTAAGATTTATTCATTCATTTATTTTAGAGAGAGAGAGAGAGAGCAAGGCAGAGGGAGAGGAAGAGAGAAACTTTAACAGGTTCCGCACTGAGCGTGGAGCCTGATGCAGGTTGGATCCCAAGACCCAGAGATCATGACCTGAGCCAAAACCAACAGTCAGATGCTGAACCCAACTGCGCCACCCAGGTGCCCCTGGTTAAACCTTTTTTAATCATTATCAGAATGAATTAATTTTTAAATTTAATTTATCTGCTCACACTGTTATAAAACTGTCACAATTTAACTGTTTGTAAGCTCTTCTGCTATTTGTGCCAACTCATTAATAACCACTGCTTTACACTTCTTACAGGCCCAAGGAAACTCAGAATTGAAAACGAGAGAAATTAACTTGGGCTAACTGTCCTTTGACCTAATGAAGCCATGCTGCATAAAGTGCTCAATGTTACACACCTCTGCAGCTGCAAGTGTGAAACCACATGCACGTGGGCTTAAAAGTATAGGTAGGATTTCAACAAGTGGGAAGAAGGTTGAGAAGAAGGTTCCAGGTGGAGCGAGCAGCATGAACAGAAGCATGGTCCACAAATGCCAATTGCCAAGGTTTGAAAATAATGGGCACAATCTTCTTAAAGCAATGACTAACTTTTGAGGTAGATATTGCTGCTTCTTCAGCAGACTTCTTCTCTTCCGATTGTCTTACAGTCAGTGATAGCATTAAGAACCCCATGGTGGATAGCAAGTATTCTGTGTGTTATATGTTCATCATCAACTTTCTTGAGCAACAGAAAATCAACACTTAATTTTTATTAAACATGCATAGATGAAACACTTGCTTCTGAAAGGGTTTATTGCAAAACCAAGTAAGATAACCAGATCATTAAAAAGTTATGGATTTGTATCATAAGATGAATTACCAAACTCTTGTAGCAACAGCATCCAGATACTCTGTAGCAGGACAGCAAAGCCTCTACTTGTCACAGGAATTTCACTTACATCTAATCTTTAATTCCCTAATTGTCCCGCTAAAACCCACTGATTAATAGCCTGGTGGCTTCTTGCCTCTCACGGGTCATGGCAAGGGCCACCCATCATGGGCCATGACACACTGCTACACCCAGTGGACAGCAGAATCTGTAGCATCAGAAATATCTCCCACCACCACCGGAACAGGAAGCAGTTAGCTTCACGTCCAAATGTCATCTTTTTATCAGCCAGTGCTATGCATGCTGTACTTCAAAAGGTTGGGAAATGAGAGATGGGCTGTCTTTCAGAGTTTAGCATGTGTTATGGTGAGAACTCTGTCAAATACACCTGCCTCTTATATTCTATTAGGAGAGATGGGTTAGAAATTGGAGTACAATGTAGAGGTCTCACCAAATCTCTTGTAGTGCAGTGATTAATAATGATCCTCCTTAAAAAAGGAGAAATTGCAGGACAAATGCTAAACTGGACTGAATGCTAGACTAGGCTAAAACCAGGTTGTTGTAGATAAATTAGGATACTTGTCTCCTTAAACCTGGAATTGTCTTTGATTTTAGCACAGGCAACCAACCCCTAAATCTTGTTTATGCTTTATTCAACATTTCTCTTGAATCTGAGCCCCCTTTTTTAGTCTCAGTGTATCTACCTTAGCCTAGCTAAGATGCTTGTTACCACATGACTGTATTATTTGTAACAACCTATTTACTAGTCTAGTACTCATTTTCTCCTTCCATACATTCTCTTCATACTTACCATTATTTTCTTTCTCCAGAAACTTGTATGTCTCATCACACCCTTGCTGAAAAATCTTTTAATGGCTCCTCAGTACCTGCAGAGTAAATTCCAAATTTGATTCCGAGTATAGTCTGTCTCTATTCTACACTTACAGATTCAGTTCTTTTTCTTTTTAAAGATTTATTTAGAGAGAGAGTGTGCTCATGTGTGAGAGTGGGGGGAGGGGCAGAGGGAGAGAATCTTCAAGCAGACTCTCCACTGAGCATGGAGCCATGTGGGGCCTGATCTCACAATCCAAGAGATCATGTCCTGAGCTGAAAACAAGAGCCAGAGGCTTAACCAACTAAGCCACCCAGGTGCCCCTACAGATTCATTTCTGATTCACTCCTGCTTGGCTTGATCTCTCATCATTTCCTAAACATGCTTGGCATTTGGCATTTGCTATCCATGCTTTTGTTCATGCTGTTGCTTTCACTTAATCTTTCAGACCTGGACCCTACTTATTGAAATCTGGACTGTAACTGTAAGCCCAAGTAACATCTTCAAGGATCCTTCTGTGATTTCCCCATCTAGAAATATTCTTTTTTATCCTCTGAAGTTCTGCAGCAGTATAGAAAATATTCTGATGGTGTATTACACAAATACCTTCAATTCAAGGAGCTTTTCAATGGCAAACTTTTGAAGGATGGAAATGATCTCTTTCATCTTTTGATACCCAACAATGCCACACAGTACCTTTATACATGCTGCTACTTAATAATTATTCATTGAGTGAATTAATAAATGAATGGCCAATGAACCCACACTAAAGTAATAATGAATAGAGTCCTTCGTTTAGAAAATATATTTACAGCTTATTAGAAACTACATTAGCTCCGGCTGCCGTAACAAAATGCCATAGACTGGGGGGAGGAAGGGCTTAAACAACAGACATTGATTTCTCACAGTTCTGGAGGCTGAGAAGTCCAAGATTAAGGTGCCACCTGCCTCAGGTTCTAGTGAGAACCTCCTTCCCAGTTTGCAGATAGCTGCCCTCTTGCTGTGTCCTCACATGGTGAGGAGGGAGAGAGGGAATTCTGGTCTCTCTTCCTTTCCTTACACTAATCCCATCATGGGGACCACCCCCTCACTGCCTCATGACTTCATCTAAACCAAAATTACCTCCCAAAAGCTTCCCCTCCAAATACCATTACACTGATGGTTAGGGTGTCAATATATGAATTTTAGGGGAACACAAACTTTCAGTACATGATAGGGACTTTCAGTCAAAGTAATGATTAAATTTAAACCTGTTTGTGGGAGAATCTTTTTGAGTGAGCTGACCTCTCGGTCTGTAAAATGCTACAAATAGGTTGATTCACCTTTGCATAATATCAGCCTTGCTTATTAAACTTTGGGTCTTCCATAAATATTAAACAAGGTCAATTTCGTTGTTAAAACCCCGATTTTCACTAACTAAGCCACAGTGAATAAAGATATAAGGTGTGTGTGTTTATGTCTCTGTATATGTCTCAAAGAAAGGATCCACATCAAACTGATAACAGTGGTTACTTATCAGGAAGAGAGTGGCATTGTTTTATTCTTGTACTCCTGATTTGTTTTAATATTCTTGTAGGGAACATACATTGCATGTTATACCTGAAATAGAAAAATAACAAAAAAAAATTTAAAGAAGTCTTAGCCTCCATGGCACTATGTATCTCCAATGCGGTTACTGCCTTCAGAAAGCTCACAATGCAGTATTCCCTTTGAAACGCCCAAGAAATGGAAGGGATAAAAATTTGGCTCAATGCTTTCTCAAAGATATCTTTGTATTTTTTTCCAAAATCTTACCAGAGTAAGAAAATAATCTGTGACCGTGAGTAAAAATATATTTGGAAAGCAAATAATACAGGAAAAAAAGGAAAAGCACGGGAAAAGTAGAACCTGCGTGTTTTATAAATTATCAAAACCCTTCATGCAAAAAATTTTACAATCCCAAAGTCAATGGATTCATAGGTGTAAGATCTGAAAAATACTGTGACTGAAATCAGTAAAGCTATTAAAGTATTTAAATATTTAATTCTTTTTTTTTTTTTAATTTTTTTTTTTTTTTATTCATGAGAGACAGAGCGAGAGAGAAAGGCAGAGGGAGAAGCAGGCTCCCAAGGAGCAGGGAGCCCGATGCGGGACTCGATCCCAGGACCCTGAGATCATGACCTGAGCCGAAGGCAGACACTCAACCATCTGAGCCACCCAGGCGCCCTTAAATATTTAATTCTTTAAAGACTGAGTAAGTGTTAGCCATAAAACAAAATGAGAGAACATCTGGAAGGCAAAGAGGTTGAAAGATTGAAAATTAAAAAGCAAATGGTGTGTTTAGTGTTACCGTGGGACTTGAGCAAATGGATAGAAACCCACTTGAAGACAAATACAGAGTTTGTGTAATTACAATGAGCCTGAAGAAGGGTTTAGCATTTATACATCTCCTGGGAAGCTTGGTGAGTCAGAAACAAACCCAAAGCAAAGAGAGGTTATTAAAATATTATTTCCTGTTGTAGTGTAAAACTCGAGAAGAAAATAAACATACCGATTACTTGCATGGCCGGTTCCACGTCTGTTGTGGCCTCTTCCAACAATGACAGCAGCTTGGCTGATATCTGATGCACGGATTCAATGTTGCTAAACAAGCTATCCACGTCCAGCCGATCAATCTGAAGAAACACAAACAGGGAACACCAGCTGATGGAGAGAGACACACTGTATTTAGGATGTTTTCTCCTGCTACACAGTAAGAATTTTGTATGCCAGCCCATGCTGCTTCCATCGACTGTTCCTGTAAACATTCTTATTTGGGATTTCTAGAGTAAATGTGCAGTTTTTCATGCAAAAAAAGGGGGGGGGGTAAGGATGTTGCTTCTGTTCCCTCTGCCTTTTTCTTGATTTTGACCAAGTTTTAATGAGTCAAACATACATATATATATTCCTATAAAACTAGAGTGTGAAGAAGATTTAAGCCACGTAATCAGTATTTTTATTAACTGCCATCTATGATAGTATGTACTAGCACGTACGAATTTAGAACACTTTAATGCTTACACAGCAGAAGTCAAACCTTACTCTAGGCAAGTAACTATTTTCAAAGCTGTTTTAGAACCACAGATGTTCTAAAAGTGATGACAAGTAGATGTGCTGAGTTGCTTCCTGCTTTTTTTCTTAAAAGAAATGTGAATGGAAATTTCACCAAATATGTTCTACTAATTAAAGATTCATCATATTTTATAACTTCATGCACACCCTCAAAAACCAGTATAATCATTCCTCGGTCTTAGAGCTGGTGCTTATCATATTTTATTTATTCACTCATCTCTCCTTCATTAAATATTTCCTGGAGGTCTTCTATGTATCAGGAATTATAATAGAAACCAAACTCTGTTTTAGACATTGGAAGATTAGTAGAGGGATGGCCAACCATCCTAAGCTATCTAAGTAGAATTTGGTGAGATATGTGCCCTGATTTTGCTGGATCTTCCTCTAAATCTTTCTCTGGAGTTTAAGTCTGATCTCCTTTCATAATCAAATAGTGTCTAGTTGGCTCATGTACAGATCGGTCCAGACTCCACTGGGCTACCACAGGGAATAGGAGTAGGTGCCTTTCTCCATGGTTTACTGTATGTGGGGTCATAGGTGGATAATCACATCATTAATACTCAAGTCATGGAAGAGCTTCACAGGTGCAAAGCAGAGTTGCCGGTTCCAAACCAGGTCAGCATTTTAGGAGTGAGAGGGACAGGGAGTTCAGCTAAGGATCAAAAAAGAGGCCAAGAAACGAAAGGGAATTGGGAACAAGGGATATAGGGGAAGAGGCAGATGTGGAGGAATTCTGGAGATGAAAGTCAATAGTGTAGCTTCTTCCTCATTCGTCTCTCCTCATTTCGTCTCCGTCTTTCTCCCTCCATCTTTCCTCATCCGTCTCTTAGCATCCGTCTCTTTGGGTGTGCTAAGTCTGTGGTGAGGGGAGGGGAGGGGAGGGAGGAGGCAGGTTGCTCATCTTTTTATCCCATCCTTTTCTGACGTTGACTCATCTGTTGTGCCCTGTACCAGACAGAGATATTATTTTGATAAGGATATTCTGTTATTAAACATGAAGCATTTGTTTCACATTCCACCTTGTTTAAAATTTGGTGACTATGTCAATTATTTCTTATGTAATATGGTCTAGCTATCCACATTCCTTCCAACCATCGTGGGAAATTCCTCACCTTCCTATCATCAGTCTTGTCCTCAAGAAAACTCCCAGCCCCAGCCTCATTTGAATCAAATACCACGTGATTCTATGTAGTGGGTTTATTTCAATATTTTAAGTATTATTTAATTTTATATTTAAAATTTTAAATTTAAAAAACTTTTTATGTCTTCTAAAATAATCTATATCTCCATACTGTATTATTACATTACAATCATTATTAGCTCACTAAATGTTCCTTTAAGTAGTCATTTTAATTGGATAGGGCACATATGACTCTTTTGTCTGAAATCTATAGATACTCAAGACTTTCAATTTCTATTTTACAAAATGTATTTAATATTATACAAAATACCTAAAGGGCAGACAACAGTTGCATGACTTTTTTTGTTAAATGATAATTTTAAATAGCTAAGGATGTGTCACATATTTCTGGGTACCATTGATTTAACACATTATTTATTCTAAGGAATGGCTTTATGCATTGAGTATTAATTAAGTAGCAATGGGATAATTTTTGCATAGTGCAAAGTATGTTTTCCAAAAATTGAATGTGAATCAGATTTTGGGGAGAGGAGCAAAGGGAGAGTTTTTTTTTTAAGATTTTATTTATTTATTTGAGAGAGAGAGAGAGCGAGCAGAGGGAGGGAGAGAAGCAGGCTCCCTGCTGATCGGGGAGCCCAATGCGGGGCTTGATCCCAGGACCCTCTGATCATGACCTGAGCCAAAGGCAGAGGCTTAACGACTGAGCCACCCAGGCGCCCAATTTAAGCCTCTGAATAAGTTTGAAGATAGGAAAGTTCACCTGAAGAGAGGTGCCATGCTCAAAATTACTAAGTCAGGACAGAGTTGGAACTGGAAATTGACCTTTTAATCCTACACTTTAGTCCATTACCAGCAAATACTGACAGAATATTTTGCCATCTCTGGATTTTTTGTCTTGTTCCTGAGTTTTCACTAAGTTTCACTTCTACAATTTATTTCTCAAGGCCAGAATCCTGCATATCTTTCTAATTTAGATTTTAAATTCATTTTGCAAGGATTTAATTCTATATTCTATCTATAATCTTAGCTCGATGTAGCAAATACTAAGTAATAAAAATGTAGCATTTAATTTCATTTCTTTTTGAAGGACAGAAAGGATTAAAACATCAATTGGCCTGTATCATGGGCCCATGGGGAGTCTGTGAATCATAAATTCACATCCAGTCACTGCTTTGCCAGGAACAAACAAATGTCTGATCCAAATAGGCTTTTAAAATTGATAGATGACTTTATAATTATTGATATAAATTCAAAGAAGCATTTATATACATTTATTAATCATTTACTAGAAACAGGCAATGCTCTAAAAGCTTAAGTTGAGTTATATTTTAAAGGGATTAAAAATTTATTTTTTAGAAAAAAAGATTTAGTCTAAGTATACATTATCCTAAGCAAAGTCAATGCATAATAATTCAAATGTACAAAACAGAAAAAGGTTAGTGTTTCTGGTGGCAACTTAATTCCTTGCTTTACAAACATATTCATCACAAGATATACTTCAAATGGCAAGTTCTCATTACACTTAAATAATGCTGAGTTTAGAGTTGTGTGCATGCAAAGCTCCTCAGGTATAAATATCTAAGTAAAGGAAAACATACCTATAACATTTCATCAATTCAGAGACTATAATCACTGGGGTAGAATTACTTTATACCCCACAAGCGCCTTATACCCACTGTGTTCAAAACATTCCTTGCATTTTCCTGCATTCATATCCTAGCCTGAGCTCTTCCTTTTGCTCACAAATGCTTTGCCCTCATAATACTTTGCAACATTCTACCTGTCTGAAATGAAGATGGTAATGATAGTGTTTGTCCAGTAGTTTTGACCATCTCTCTGTTCTTTCTGTTGTTTTTTGGGGGGGAAGCGATAGCTCCCCAACTCTAACTGATCTGGTGGAATTGTCAGTCATGATGTCCTGCCCCATATATCATTCCCTACAAGGTGGGCATGTGACCTAGCTGGCCACAGGAATTGGCTCAGGATGGGCAGGTTCCCAAGCAAAGCCAATGAGAATCTTCCCTGATTTTTTTTTTAAGTTCCAACTTTTTTTAAATTAATTTTTTGATGTAGTGTTCCATGAGTCATTGTTTGAGTATAACACCCAGTGATCCATTCGGGCGCCTGGGTGGCTCAGATGGTTAAGCGTCTGCTTTCGGCTCAGGTCATGAACCCGGGGTCCTGGGATCAAGTCCCGCATCGGGCTCCCTGCTCAGTGCAGAGCCTGCTTCTTCTTCTCCCTCTGCCATTCCCTCTGCTTGTGCTCTTCTATCTCTGTCAAATAAATAAATAAAATCTTTAAAAAACAAAAAAGACAACAAAAAAAAAACCACCCAGTGATCCATTCAATATGTACTCTCTTTAATACCCATCAAAAGGCTAACCCATCCCCCCCACCCCTCTCCCCTCTAGAATCCTCAGTTTGTTTCTCGGAGTCCACAGTCTCTTATGGTTCGTCTCCCTCTCCGACTTCCAACAACAAAAAACGAAATCTTCCCTGATTTTTAATGAATGGTTGTTAGGAAATAGAAGGGCCTGGATTATTAGCCTTAAGTATATAAGTTTCTATCTTTAGCAGTCCTCTTTGTGGAGAGTTTGACTGTGATCAAGTCAACAGAGTGAGGGAAGGCTAAACTTGGATCTCCCTTGCAATAAGCAAGACATCCTTATTATAGAAGATAATAAATTGCCTTTTTACTTAAGCTAGTTTGAATTTTATTTGTTACCTGTAACTAATAGGGGACTAATACACTTTTCTTTATTTCTAGCCCCAAATCTCACTTCCTTTTAAGAAAACGTTTCTGCTCTCTTGCTTAAAATTAACCTCTCCCTCTCCTTTGCTTCCATGACTCTTGGTTTGTATGACACAATGCTGATATTGAAGCCTACCATACATATCAGGGATATTTATTAATTTATCTGTCTCTATGTCAAAACTGTGAGCTCCTCCAGGACATTTGTTTTCGTGAGTTATTTGAATACCCCACTGTATCTAGTATACTACTGGGCCCATGCCTAGTTACCCAATAGAAGTTTGACCATTTTGATGGAATCTAATCACTACAATTCAAATGATGTATTTACTCTGTGGGAGCCATCAATAAATGTTCCTCATAATCACTCTACTGGGCTCTGAATAACAAGTACAGTATAAAACAATCAAAAGTGGTGTGAAGAAGAAAAATCAAAATCACCTAATTTGGTTGTTAAAAATATCACATTAAGTGGATCTTTTATAACTTTCTACTTAATTTTATCTACAAAGACAAACTGTTGTACTCAGTTTGACTATTAGTATACCTGGAAAACTTGCTGACAGAGGGCAAATTTCCCCTTAGTTTACACTTGGGAAATGCTTGTTTGTTTTTTGTTTAATGAGCCCTGGGACACTCAGCCTAAAACCCAGTCATGGGGAAGAATAAC